CTGACAGGTGAAAAGTCCAAGAGTGAAGTCTCTGAGGGCCACATTCCTGTTTTCAACAACACAGGTCATGAACCAGTGACCCTGTTACCAGTGTTTCACCTAATTCCAGGTATGAGTGACAGTGTATTGTTTGAGTGACACGGACGACCATGTGAGTAAGTCAGATTTCTGGAGCAAAAGAAATCTCAGAACCAAATCAAGACTTGTCGTCTCAGGACGCATTCACACTAAAATCTGAAAACATTTTTGGACATTAGCGACACCACAGGACAGCGCAACTTCTACATCATGCATGAAACTTACAGTAAAGCAAACACCTCACTGATGTGGGTGTGTATGAAGGTTCTCACAAACACCTACCTGTAGGTGTTGGCTGTGTCACTACCCCACCTTACTCTACTCAAGTGGTAGCCAACCAGGTCTTCTTTGTGGTTTAGTATAAAAACCTGTTTCCTGTTCTGTTTTCAAAAGGAAATGAGCTGCATGAAGGACTCTCACACCAGTATCAGCCCCAGTCACAGGGTAACAAATGAGCTAATTGTGTTTCTGCATACATCAGGTGCAATAGTCAGTAAAGAAGGAGTTTGTCTTCTGCACGTAACTCATCCATGAAACTGGAGCAGTGGGCGACACCGTGGTGTCCGAGAACAGGTGAGTTTTTGGCACTTGCGCCACACGCCAGTATTTGAACTGACAATCTCTGACCAGAAGCCTTCTCTCTTTGGTGCTCGGTGAAGTTTTCTGTGATGGCTTCTCGCATTCTTATCCTCCAACTCTGTCTGAATGAGTGGATTGACCCATGACCTGCACTTCTACAAACCATCACGGCCGTACAAAAATAATTTGCTAAATCTGCAAAGAGTTGGACAGTTATGCAGATCAAACTTAGCCACTGGGTAACAAAGTAATTGGATTTCTATGCTCACGAAAAAACTCTGATTTAGTCATTTAGTATAAAAGTCAGCACCAGGCTCAGAATTGGGTCAGAACTTTAATAAAAGTTAACAGCTGATCATCACTGTTGTGGTTTGGCCTGCAGCAAGGAGGAGGTAAAAGAGAGGGGACATTAGAACATCATTTAAAAAAAAAACTGGAATATCCCTTTAACCTCGTCTATGCAGAAGGCTGGCACTGGGGGATAAATTTAGCCAGAAGCTTACATTTACCCCTAGTCATTTCACTGCAGTGATAAATACCAGCCTGGGGTAGATGGAGGAATTTTGGTGCAGTCCCTGAAAATGTGCCTTGAAATGAAACCCATCTAAAATCTAAATGCCAACTGTCAGTCGCAGATGGTGTGCGTGTGTGTCCGTGTGTGTGTCCGTGTGTGTGTGTGTCCATGCTCCAGCAACAACCTGACAATAAGCTTAACTGCAGTACATAGCTGTATGGAGGCTGCAGTGACCTCGTACGACCTGAGGCTCAGAGGACTGTGTCAAAGTGGTTTCTGTCTGTCTGTCTCTGTTGGTCTGTCTGTCAGTGATGAACGTGAGATAAAATACAGAGAGCAGAACCAGGAAACACCCCAAAACAAAAACTTGTCAATATTTGAAGGAATGAGAAGAAAGAGAAACGCAAACAGATAAAAACGCAAAGAAAAAAAAATTGAAAAAGTTATATTTCCCACTGACTAAAAAAAACAACAAACAAAAAAATTCAAATAAAAAGAAAATCTTCATATCACATCTGTGCTGGTTGACATGACACCAGGTTGTTGTTCCTCTGTCATGTTACAAAGTTAGTAACAACTGGAGCTAAGACCAGGTTCATCAAAGCCTAAATCCTACAGACTGCGGCCAACACCAGACTCCAGTGTTTAGTCGATGACATCTGACACATCACTTTACAGAAACACATTGGATACCGATCTGATTGAGGTGAACTTATGAACAAGGCCTGATTTATGGGCCAAAACACTGTGTGATGCCACAGTGTGAAGGAACCAATCAGGCAATGCCATATTTAAAGTCAACCAACCATTCACACTACCATTCACACCAATGATTGGTTAACCTAATCATGCATGTTCATGGAACGTGGGAGGCAACGTCAAAGGTTTCAACTGGTGATTGAACTCCTGACCCCCTGCTGACAGGCAAAAGAACTACACACTCTATCCATCAACTCGACCTCTTCATCAGTACCTAGTACTTTTGATCTTCAATCAACATCTCACCTGTAAGAGTTGGTTTTATGATACATGGCTGTAGCAAAGCTGACTCCGTCCTAGTACACGCAGGGTTAAACAACTTGTTGCCACTTGAAACATGTTACCCACAAAAGTAATTATATACTGATAGGCTGCTTCTTACTGGGTTACCTAAATCCAGGTGTTGACTTGCTTCTTGGCAGAGCAGTGCACGTTTAGTGCACGTGCCATTATTTTCATTTTTTTGTTGAAAGGTGTGACAGAAATTAATTATCGGCCGAACTGACACAGAAGAGCAGAGGTGGTCCGTATCGGTGACAAGAGTCGAAAGGAACCAAGAGAGAAAAACACTGAACAATAAGTGTTCTAATCCGGTACTTTACAGGGTTGGGTTCGGTGTTGGGTTACTGCATGTACACAAATAATGAGTCACTGTGTAAAACACATGCACAGACACATGTGCACATACACAAACAAGCCCACGTAAAACACAGCAACAACTCCTCATACTCCCATTTGCTGGAGGTCAACTTCTTTCTGAGACTAAGGAGGCGTCCATTTGATCTGGTTGAACTCCTAAACCTGAACCATGTCAGCATGACCTCCTCTGACTGCAACACATTCTAATACAGTGGAACCTCGGTTGTCCAATGCCTCCCTTTTCGAACAATTCATGAACAAACTTTTTAACCAAAAATTGCCCCCGTTGTCGTACCATAACTTGGTTGCCAAACAAGAGACAATACCACACAAGTGACTGAGTGTGTGGCGCCAATTTCAGCCTCAGCCCGCACTCGGGATATACAAGCTAAGAACTGTTGAATTTGTCGGTATTTCTTGTTGTGCGCTGGCGCCAATTTCAGCCTCAGCCCGCACTAGCAAAGCCGTCGATTTGTACCATCATTAAGAACAAGGAAGCAATAAAAGAAGCTAATGTTGCCAAAGGAGTGACTGTGATCACCAAGCAAAGATCTCAGACATTAGGAGAAGTGGAAAAGTTGCTACTTATTTGGATCAACAAAAAGCAGGTAATAGTATTTCGGAGAAAATAATGTGCGGTTTGGTGTATGAACCTGTACACAAAATACTGATGAAAAAGTTTCAAACTTTTCGGTTCATGAACGGCCTTCAGAAACGTATTAATTTAGTTGAAAATCCGAGGTTCCACTGTAGTGTGATACCCGTCGATGACAAGTGGACACAAAATAAAATGCTTACCTTATACTTTGGTGAATTTTGCTTTTTGTTTTTGCTGACAGCAAAACAAATAGTTGTGCTGCATTCTTTATTGATGTAGAAAGCGGGAAACCTAAAAACTGTGGCACACTGCCCCTACAGGGGAATCATGACATTAATCATCAACCACAAGGAAAAAAATAAACCAACAAATACTGCAGTAACAGCAGCAAAGATGAAGATAATATGGTCATTCTACAGCTGGGCCAAAAGTGGTTGGCTAGGCAGTCTATCAGGTGGCAACAATCAGTTGCTGAAGGAGAGAACAAAAAGGAAACAATACTCGTAACTTTTCTGTAACGACTCGTAACTCTTAGAGCTTGGCAGGAGCAGGACAGCTTCATCCAGCGTTAGGTCGTGATATTGATGACACGCTGAACCTACCCTATCCTTGTGCTAAAACTGTTGTTCAAACTCCGTTTAATAAGTGGAAATGCATTGTGTCTGAAAATGTCCTGAGATCAGAGGAAGACACTTTTTTAACAAGTTGGTAAGGTTGGTTTCAGTTTTGCACTTTTGCTTGCCGCCTCCTCATACACGTTCACCTCCCGTCTCTGCTCTTTCTACGTTGTTCTCATATTTTCTGTCATCTTTTCAAGCACACTAATTACAGGCCTAAACATTTGGGCATGTACGCGTGTGAGCGCAGGCTCACTCACTCCCACCCTGCCCACTCACTCAGCAAGTGAACATAATTAGAGACTATGAATGAGTGGGAAGAGAGAAGGAGGGAGGGAAGGACGGCGGGAGGGAGGAGAGGAGATTAGAAGAAATTAGAGTTTGTGTAAAGAGCTGGAGATTAGGAGAGAACTTCACATCCAGGTTCTGTTCAGACAAGGATTTTTCTTTTAAGGTCTGATCCATTATGGAGAATCCTTCTCCAGCCTGACACAGACAACATTGTCATTTAAAACAAGCAGGGCTGTCCATGTTAATGTTATAATAAGGAGCTCTAATAAGAGAATCCCTCACATTAGCCTGTGCCTGTTGATGCTGGTCCACCACGTACATCAGGAAATCAACAAGTAATGAATGAAACAGAAACTAATGTGGGTGTGAGAGCAGCTGTCTTCAAACAGAGTAGAACTGTGGAACAGAAGAGGAGAACTGACCATGACCAACTCTAGTGTGGTTTGTCCATTGTTAACACACTGTGAAGTCAGTTTCATTCAGGTAATTCTAACCAACTCAGAACATTTGTTAAATATCATTTCATTTCATCAACTTCCACATTTCTCTCATTTTTCCTAGCGTCTCTATTTTTAGCTCGTCTTCCAATGATGGGCCTATTTTGAGACATCCTCACTTCTCCCCTCAGCATATTGTCCAATAGGAGGTCTCTCTGCAGGGGAATATCATCGTCACTCAGAAAGATTCACTCAACTCCCACTTGGCGTTGGGCCTGCTCTCCCTGCCTCCCCCAACCAATCCCTTCTCTTTACACTCGTGTGCTTTCCCCTGCCATCCTATCCTCGTGTCCTTCTCCTGCTCTGCTCCTATTCCCCTCCCTCAACACAGGGTTGTTGCCCACAGCCTCAGTGGAAATTTAACACAGTGCAGAAGAGTCCTACTTTGACCCTCCACAGACGATCGGCTCCTACCTGAAAAAAAGAAAATTAAAAAAAGATAATTCCACACCGGCTGAAGAGAAAAGTAAAATAAAACAGCACCATGCTTCAGTCAGACTGACACACTACCACTGAAGTCAAAACGACAGCCATGATATCCTCACATCCTCTTCTTCTTCATCTTCATTGTCTCCCACTTTTAAAAGAGGAGGTTACATAATTCTTCAAACACTTCCTGTCTTTACCGACAGCACCGTGGCCTTTTATCGGACACACGCACACACACTTGACATATTGAAGCAGACAGGCAGCCTGTTCAGACTGTCTGCATCATAGTCACTATGACAACAACAGCAGAACCATGCACAGAAAAACACTCAGGGGCGGGGGGGCAGAGGAGGTGGAGGGACTGTGTGAAAGAGAGGAAAAGGGAGAAAGAGAAAGACAGAGAGAGAGAGAGAGAGAGAGAAGGGATGAAGTAATGGGGAGCTCATGTGTACACACCACTGTACTGCAGATCAGACTACATTGTACTGCTTTTTCTCTCTAACTCTACTTCCTGTATTTTCACAACACTGTTTTTCCAAATCAAAATTCACTCACAGCAAACATTACACAGACTCTGTCTCCCAGGACGTTAGAACTCACATGAGTCAGCAAATCCTAAGAGAGTAGAGTAGAGTAGAGTAGAGTACATTAGAGTAGAGTACAGTAGAGTACAGTGGCCTTTATTGTCATTGCAAACCACAGCAGTCCAGTCCAACAAAAAGAGTGTGGCACCTTTAGTACAAACGGCCAATATGCTAAATACTAGCACTTTTAGCTCAGTATACCTCAAACAGGAATTCAACAAACAGGATGTGTTAGTCCAAGTGCAGTTTCAACAGTTGTGTAGCAATGGACCAGTGAAAAGAGTGCAGTCAGGCAGCTAACTGATGTACAGGGACAACGACGAATCGGCAGCTGTAACTTTGAGGAAGCGCCAGGGCTGGGAGTCCACCCCCCTCCCCCTCCAACCCCTCCCACCATGGCAGTGATTTTTATTTAAGTTTCTGTTAAGTTTTTTGTATTTGCACCAATAGTGTCTAATTCATGGCTGCATTTATTATATGCACATACCAACATTTCTAGCTAGCAGTTAAACAATATGATGTCAGGTTTGTGTAAATTTGGGAAGATGTTAACCAGGCAATTCTCAATTTTTTTTAAGTCTTTGAACTCATCACTGATTTCTGTCATTTTAAAGCTAAAGCTTTGAATCTGATGATGCCTTCAACAGACCATTAACAGATCTACAGAATATGGAAGACATCTGTGTATGAACAGATTCTGACCACAAACCATTCCTACCCAGCCTGTTGAGACATAAGCTAACTTGTTGTGCACATACATAAGTGAATCCAGTGACTGTCATCACGACTTTCTAGTTTTTCTCTTTTAAAGCCCCCTTTATTACCCAGCCCACTGCAGCCAGTCTTATTGCAGGTCGTAAACATTACATAAACACCACTGCATCACAAAGGTAAAGTAGTTTCGCAGTGATGTCATTACAGACAGCATGGGATGTCTACGCAATGTTGTATGAGCTGCAGTAACAGCACGACGATGATGTATAATTCAGGCTTCATCCAGAGAGAAACCTGAGGCCAGGATCCAAGAGAAGAGAAAGAGAACCAGCAGTAAATATCATCTGGATCCTTTACTCTATACCTGCTCATTATGATAGTTAGGGTTAATGGGATTCATAACCAGACCAAGTGTGACTGAACAGTGTATTAGAGAGGCAAGGGCTCAATGTGAAAAGGTACAAACCAGGAAGGAGTGATGGTTGTTACTTTAGCTCATGTGTTGTACTGGTGTTACCTGACACTGCTAAAGTAAACACAGAGTACCAAACCCTGATGTCATCAAACTGTCATCAAACTTAACATGTTGACAAAACAGCTGTTGACAAACCATATCCTGTAGTACAGGTTGACCAACACTCATCTAAAACACATATCCTGTAGTACAGGTTGACCAACACACACAATCTAAAACAAGCATTTAACTACTTGATTTAGAGAAAACATTTGACCACAACCAACTGACTATAAGCTAATATGACAACTGTTAACCACTGTTTGTTAATTTACACTTAGCCTAAAAAGGAAGAAATACTTTGTGGATGAAGTACTCTGCCTTCCTGAGACCATTCATTCATAGGTCTTCTACTGTTTAATCCTTTTCAAGGTTGCTAGTTGAGCGGGAGCCAATCCCAGGCTACAGCCCTGACAGTCCATCACAGGGTCACATTCAGAGACAAACAACCAATCACACTCACACTCACATCACTGGCCAACTTAGAGTGAACCATAATTTACCCCTGCATGTTTTTGGACTGTGGGTGGAAATTGGTATATCTGTGTGTTCACTAATCAGTGTTCACTAAGAGCCAATGTAAACTGGGAACCAATGGCGTGACAAATATATTCTCTGCTACAATCATTTGAAAACTCAGTGGCTCCTTAACTGTCAGCAAGTCAGAATAAGACAGAGTGTGAGTTCTTACAGAATTCAGATAAGAATAATCACAGCTCTCTCCAGGCTGCTGTGCAGATACTGAACATCTTTGATTAGTTACTGGAGAACTTCAGTTTAGCCGTCTGCTTAACAAAGAATCTTTGGGGAAAATGCATCTTTGCCTGAGCTCTGGCCGGTGACTTCCTGATAAACTAAAGAACAGTTTGTGACATCAGAGAGCCGGCTGAAACATCTGCAGATCTTGTCTCCTCTGCTGAGACCACAGTCACCACAAGAGGAGGCTGAGAGAGTAAAAAAGAGGAAGCAGAAAGTGGGAGGGTTGACGATGCCAGCCTCTGCTAAACATGACAGGTAGCAACTGAACCTAGGCAAGGGGTGTCAAAGGTGGCATTGCAGAGAAAACTCCCAGAAACGAACCTAAGTGGTGTCGAGTCGTGGTAACTAAACTGCAGACATTGCAGGGAGAAACACTGATGTGACACAAGGTAATTTGTCCTGGCTTCAGATCCAGAATGAATCTAAAACTTTTAATCTGCACTTCCACCACTTGTCCACACGCATGATTTTTGTGGAGCTACTGACACACAATAACATTTTAAGCATCTCCACTGGAGTCAACAATGGTCACTATTTTCCAAGGGAATGTACTTAAGCAACCGCCAATGCTGTTCGTTTACATTCTGCACATTCCTTCTGACAACATTCTATCAAATATATTGTTAAAAACCCAGGACGTCAGGCTGACGCAACACAAGACATTCCACAGTGAGGCTGGTGACTGTGGTGTACACTACTGTAAATCAATAACAAAATGGACAAGGGGTTTTTTTTTTGGACTGCTCTCTCCCAGTCTTTATGACACTCTGCTGTTTCTGGTGACGATAAAGACTTAGCATTAGCATTAGGAGCATTTTGAATATTGAATAACTATATTTAAAATACTGTTAAACACATTTTCTGTAAAGTAGTAGTTTGAAAACATCAATAAGAGGAACTAAACCTTGACTTCTCACTGGAATCTGGTTGTCACCAAGTGAGATTCAGTTCCTAACAGCTAAATTTGTAGCCAGAGAACCTGTTTGAGTTAGCCGAAAAGAGCTTCAAATTAGTCTAAACATGTCCCAGCCGTGTCCAAAAAAAAAAAAAAAAAAGACAGACAATATATAAATGTAGTTAAGGTCGGCCCAGACTAGCTGATTGAGTTAGCTAAACATTAAAAATGATATTAAAGGGAAACATTGCAGAATACCAAAGCCATTCAATACTTTAAAGGTCAGGAATTTTAGATTTTAGAAAATAAAAATCATCAGTGCTAGCAAACAAGTACTCTAGAACATAACGCCCTGTGGATTCTGCTGGTGTTGGTGTCAGTAAAACTCAGATCCAGTAAGAGAGAGTCAGAGTGGCTTTTCAAGAGCAGCTGGTGTATTTCCTTGCTTGTGATCGTCTTTGCTGCTATTTTAAGAACCATTCAGGAAGTGATCTACAAAAAAAGTATTGCTGGAGTATTCAGCTCAACCAAGCATAGTTCAACTCATCACGCACCCAAGCAAGTGCAACTGAGGACAACCGTCTCACCAAGACAAAGACTATTATCTTTATATTCATATAAACTCTATTAGCATATGTTTCCTTGTTAATCAATAAAAACAGACCTGTTGTGTGTCAAATTAAAGTAGTTTGAATGATCTTTTCATTCTTTTACTGTTGTCAAAACATCTTAACCACAATAAAAGTCAGATCTTAACACCCTGGCTGCTGAAACAGTAGTTATTCCAGTTGTATTTTTTCTTCACTGACCTTTAGTCCACCTCTTACGTTCACCATCTCAGATGAAAACAGGTCACATTCATCTAATATTATGTAAGAGGGAGTTAAACTGGAGGGCTAAAGGTGTTCTTGGTTCTAAAGACTCTTTGTACACACCACAGACAGACTCAAATTTACCACATGTTCCAGCAGAGGGCATCTAGGTGCAGCATGACTGGAGATCACTTCTCGGCCAATTTGTTTTAAAAAAAACAGACTGTGATTGGATTTTTTTGCTTTTAGTAATCTGATGAAAGTCATTATGATGCTCAAATATATAAATATAAAAACACACATATTGCTTTAAACAAAATAATGTGTGTGTGTATGAATTTATTTTTATTATTACAGTATTTGTAATATTTGCCAGAGTCTGTCTTCTTTAACTGATGGGTGAAGGATAACTCAAACTGGTTAAATTTGAAATTGGGGTCATCAAGTGCCGACTTGCTCCACACTGACCAGGCTTTAGGCTTTTTTTATCCAGACCACAAACAGCCTACTGACAACTGTCATATCTGCAGCCCCCACTGCTGCACTAGCATTGCACTTCCTGCCTGCAATCACCTGGTGTAAATCAACTGTCAGACAGTAGCGTAGCAACAATGTTGCTAACTGCCTGACCACACCGTTAATATCCTCCCTCATGCCGTTCCGCTCTGCCCCACTGAGTCCTTGCTCCATCTTTTCCTACCTCTTGCCCTCTGCAGCATTATCAGATAATGTGTTTTTCCCCCCTCCTGCACTGCAGCCACCATGGCACAATTACCCCGGCTGATGCACTAATGGGTATTGATGCAGGCGAAGGCTCCGCACACACACTTGCACACGCAAACATTCATAAAAAATTCATGACACTGGCTCAATAGGAAGGTGTGGGGGGTCTGGCCAGCCTGGAGAAAGAACAAATGTCATTTAACAAAGGAGGCAAGAGGCAGATGATACCAGCCACCATGTCTACAGGCAATGTGATCAGGATAAATGCCCCTCGATATGAAAACTAAATACATGTGTGGGTTTATGTGGCTGTGTCCATTTGTCCCCTTCACCTACATTCGGGCAGACTCACAGTACGTGTGTTCGCTGATCAGTGCTCACTAAGAGCCAGTGTAAATGTGTCTCCTGTGCGTTGCAGGAATCTTGGAGGTGGATAATTCCCTCTTAGCAGAGGATTTCACTCTGCCACAGGCCTACACTGGGAGCTTTAGGAAGCTAAGCCTGCTAGCTGAGATGGATCATCAGAGACAAGAAGAGAAGAGATGGAGTCTGGGATGGAAAGGGAGAGGGAAAAGAACAGCATGGGTGAGTCTGAATCACTGAGAGGAAAGTGTGTGGGTGGAGAGGATGGGGTGGGGGTGGCACAGATGACAGGGAGAAAAACTGAAAGGTCAGATGGAAGTGAGAATGAAAGAGTGA